CACTACAATAATAACAGTAGTGATATACCTATCAAATATACATCACATACCTTCTACACACTGCAATGATAACAGTAGTGATATACCTATCAAATATACATCACATACCTTCTACACACTGCAATGATAACAGTAGTGATATACCTATCAAATATACATCACATTCTAATCACATCACATACTATCACATTCAAATTACAATTCAATACAATTCAATTTACAAATTAATTACAGAGTCGTGTTCAGAACACCGTATTATTATTAATGATCCATTTGCTTTTAGGACCGCATTTTACACGACGCAATGCCATAAATTAGACTGGTACTCGCTCCCACCTCTCGGCTTAGTTGCTCGTTGGGAGCGAGTACCAGTCTATGTCATAAATTAGAACGGACGTTGATCAAAGTGACGTTTGGTTAGCGATGAAACAAAGTTTAAAAAGTGTTATTTATACAGCAAGTAGTCTCATAAATGCTTTGATAAATTATTTAAATACTGTAACTAGAGTGGCTGAAAAAAACTGGTGGACCCACGGTCCATTTAACTTGTTAAATTTACTGGACCGAGAGAGATTTTGATGGTCTCGGATCACGGTCCACCGCCTAACGTCGAAGACTGGTGCCTCCAATTATCAGTTTTCCACCCTGTATACCTGGTGATACATCGTGGTTTCATTGCATAGCATGGTATACCTGTCGATACATCATGATTTCATTGCGTAGCATGGTATACCTGTTGATACATCGTGGTTTCATTGCGTAGCATGGTATACCTGTTGATACATCGTGGTTTCATTGCGTAGCATGGTATACCTGCTGATCAAGGAGCTGTCAACATCGGCCGAGGACGTGATAATCGTCACCAGCAGCCTGACAAAGGACATGACAGGCAAGGAGGACCTGTACAGAGCAGCCGCCATCCGCACCCTCTGTCGCATCACCGACACCACCATGCTGCAGGTAAGAACGCACGCGGCGTGGCGTGGTGTGGCATGGCGTGGCGTGGTGTAGCGTGGTGTGGCATCCGCACCCTCTGTCGCATCACCGACACCACCATGCTGCAGGTAAGAACGCACGCGGCGTGGCGTGGCGTGGCGTGGCGTGGCGTGGTGTAGCGTGGTGTAGCATCTGCACCCTCTGTCGCATCACCGACACCACCATGCTGCAGGTAAGAACGCACGCGGCGTGGCGTTATATTACATAATTATATGTACAATAGTAGCAATGTAAGAAATATAATAATAATAGTAATATACTGAATGACTGCACTGGCTCATTTGTATTCACTTAGGTGTATTGTTATTATTGTGACATGGATGTGTGTAATTCTCTCTCTCCCCGTCTCCCACTAACAGATGAGAATCATGAGGCGAAGGAGTCGGGACTATCGCACCTGTGTGAGTTCATAGAGGACTGTGAACACACCGTGCTCTCCACACGCATCCTGCATCTGCTTGGACGCGAGGGCCCGCGCACCGCGCACCCCGCCAAGTACATACGGTGAGTCGCTCGCATCGTTCCGTGTCGTAGCGCGTCGTTCCGTGTCATAGCGCATCGTTCCATGTTGTAGTGCATCGTTCCGTGCCGTAGCACATCGTTCCATGTCGTAGCGCTTTGTTCCATGTCGTAATATGCCATACCATTATGTAATATACTGTTCGGTGTCGAAATGCATCATTCTGTGTCTTAACACACTGTCTCATGTTGTAAGATTCCATGCTGTAATGCAACATTCTGTCCCATTACACAGTTCCGTGTCATAACGTTCCATTCCATGTCAAAACGTGCCATTTCGTGTCATAACGTGACGTTCCGTGTCATAGCACACCGTTCCGTGTCGTAACGTGATTTTCCGTGTCGCTGCAGGTACGTGTACAACCGCGTCGTGCTGGAGAACGCCGCCGTGCGTGCGGCTGCCGTCAGCTCGCTCGCCAAGTTTGGCGCTCACTCTGAGGACATGCTTCCCAACGTGTTGGTGCTGCTGCGCCGCTGCCTGCTGGATACGGATGATGAGGTGACACCTTTCTTCCTCCCTTCCTTCCCTACTTCCCTCCCTTCCTTCTCTCCTTCTTTGCTTCCTTCCCTTCCTTCTCTTCTTCCCTCCTTCCCTCTTTCCTTCCTTGCCTCCTTCTCCTCTTCCTTCCTTTATTCCCTCCTTCCTTCCTTCTCTCCTTCCTTTCCTCCTTCCTTCTCTCCCTCCTCTCCTTTCTTCCCTTCCTTCCTTCCTTCTTTCTTTCTCTCTTTCCCTCCTTCATTCTTTCCCCCATCTCCTCCTTCCTTTCTTCCTTCCTTCCTTTCTTCCTTCCTTCCTTCTCTCCTTCCCTCCTTCCTTCTTTCCCCTCCCCTCCTTCCTTTCTTCCTTCCCTCCCTCCTCTCCTTCCTCCCTTCCTTCCCTCCTCCCTTCCTTCCTTCCCTCTCCCTTCCTTCCTTCCCTCCCTTCTCTCCTTCCTTCATTCCTTCCTTCCCTCCTTCCTTCCTTCCTTCTCTCCTTCCCTCCTTCCTTCCTTCCCTCCCTCTTTCCCAACGTGTTGCTGCTGCTGCGCCGCTGCCTGCTGTATACAGATGATGAGGTGACACCTTTTTTCCCTCCCCTCTCTCCCCTCTCTCCCTCCCTGCTTCTTTCCTTTCTTCTCTTATTCGTTTCTTCCATCCTTCCCTCCTCTACTTTCCTCCCTCCCTTCTTCCTTCTCTCCTTTCTTCCCTTCTTCCTTCCTTCTCACTATCTAACCTTGTTAACGCCGCCCCATCAGTGCAAGAGAACACATGAACTTGCTGTCATAAACACCTACGATTCGACAATACCTGCGAGTACGGGGGTTAACCTTCATCGTTCGCTTCGTTCCCCGGCTGCAGGTGCGTGACCGAGCCATCTTCTACGTGAACCTGCTGGAGCAGCGGGAGCGACAGCTCAACTGCGCCTACATCCTCACCGGCCTTCAGGTCAGCGTCGTCGGCCTCGAGAAAGCGCTGCACCACTACACGCTTGACCCGCGCGAGACTCCCTTCGACCTCAAGGCGGTGCCCCTCGAGACGCAGCCCCTGACAGCTGAGCCCGCGCGCGCGGCCGCCACAGGGTCGGCTCGCGCGGCGGGGGCGACGGCGGGTGGCGTGGACGTGGCTGCGGCAGCTGCCACGCGGCAGGACGTGTTCGCTGAGCAGCTGGCCGCGATCCCGGCGTTCGCCGACCTCGGCACGCTGTTCCGCTCGTCGTCACCGCCCGCGGAGCTGACGGAGTCGGAGACGGAGTACGTCGTGCGATGCGTGAAGCACACCTTCCCCGCCCACGTCGTGTTCCAGTTCGACTGCACGAACACGCTCGACGACCAGACGCTGTCTGACGCCCGCGTCCACATGGAGCCAGCCGACCCGGCGTTCGAGGTCGTCGAGACGGTCCCCTGCACGCGGCTCCGCTACAACGCGCCCGGCGCCACCTACACGTGCGTGCGTCTGCCTGAAGGCGGGGTCGCCGCGGCGACGTGCACGTTCGCGTGCGCGCTGCGCTTCACGGTGCGCGACTGCGACCCGGGGACGGGCGAGGAGGAGCCGGAGGACGAGGGGTATGCCGACGAGTACGTGTTAGAGGACGCGGAGCTGACGATGGCTGACCATGTGCGCCGCGTCGCGCGCCCCGACTTCGCCGCCGCGTGGGACGCCGCGGGAGACGACAACGAGCGCGAGGACACGTTCGCGCTGTCGTCGGCGGCGACGGTCGCAGACGCCGTGCGCGACGTGGTCGCGTTCCTCGGCATGCAGCCGTGCGAGCGGTCGGACCGCGTCGCCGACGGACGCAGCGCCCACACCCTCTATCTCGCGGGCGTGTTCCGCGGCGGACACGAGGCGCTGGCGCGGGCGAGGCTGGCGGTGGCCGATGGCGGCGTCACGATGCAGCTGTGCGTGCGCAGCGATGACCCCGAGGTCAGCGACCTCATCGTGTCCGCCATCGGCTAGCGGCGTCGCCCGCGTGCGCGACGGAAGGATGGAAAGGAGAGTCGTTTTGCGACGGGAAGACGAGCGAAATGCAACTCGCTCGTAGTCGCTGCCTTGCTCCAGGCGCCACCTGGAGGTGGATCTAGCAGCGGAGGCGCCATCTGAGTGTTGCTGCAGCAGTGGCGCCACCGTTCGCTCCCACGTGTCGCACTATATCTGCGACACGGTAGAGGATTTAGAATTTCACTGATTGCAAATTATCGCAGAATAGAAACAGGATGGAGAATGATAATTAACGAGAGCGGGAATGGGTTTATCCCCCGATTTTCACATATATGCTCCCAATTGTGCGTGTCTTATGTTATGGGTGGTATAGCTACGGTTTATATCAAACCATTAACTGATAATATATAAATTTGTTGTCTGTCTATCAACTGTTAATTTGTATTTCATTTTGAAGCGATTGTTGATATTATTAATAGCAAATACGGCTGCCTTACTATCAGTGTTGATAGAGCTATAGATAGAGTATTAAACTCAAGAAACGCGTAAGCATTACCGGAGAGTCTGTTAGAGAATTCAATAGTCTATATTTACACGATTTCGTATGCAAACTGCACCAATGTTTGCTATACAACTCTACAGGCAACAAAAAATACAAAAAAGAGCCGCAGAGCGTCTGGGCTCATCTGAGGTCTGTTGCTACGATTATAAACGTAAAATTTCAGTCGTGCGTAGTACCACATTTGTTAACGAGGTAACCACGGCGACGCGCGTGTTGAATGGAGTAACCACGGTGACGCGCATGTTGAACGAAGTAACCACGGCGACGCGCGTGTTGAACGAGGTAACCACGGCGACGCGCGTGTTGAACGAGGTAACCACGGTGACGCGTGTGTTGAACGAGGTAACCACGGTGATGCTTGTGTTGAACGAAGCAACCACGGAAACGCGCGCATGCATGTGGCTTCACCTTTACTTACCTAGGTCACATGTCAACACCTTAATACCTAGAATGCTAGGTAGACACCACGCGAAAGACAATGGCAAGAGTAGACCGGTGCCTAGTGTTCAGATTACTTAAGATTGCACCTAATAAAACTGTAACATAAAAATTGTGCATAACCCCTCCGCCGCGCTCATTGTTTCCGTCTCTCCCCGCCGGCACCAGGTGGCGATGTCGCACCCGGCGGCCATCACGGCCTGCAACCTGGACCTGGAGAACCTGATAACGGATGTGAACCGGAGCGTCGCTACGCTCGCGATCACGACGCTACTGAAGACGGGGAGCGAGGCGAGCGTCGACCGCCTCATGAAGCAGATTGCCGGATTCATGAGTGAGATCTCGGACGAGTTCAAGATCGTCGTCGTCGAGGCGATACGCAGCCTCTGCTGCAAGTTCCCGAAGAAACACGGTGAGTGCGGCGGTGGCGCCCCCGCATGGTGGTGCTAGTAGCAGCAGTAGTAGCAGCAGTAGTAGCAGCAGTAGTAGCATCAGCAGCAGTAGTAGTAGCAGTAGTAGCAGTAGCAGCAGTAGTAGCAGCAGTAGTAGCAGCAGTAGTAGCAGTAGCAGCAGTAGTAGTAGTAGTATCAGTAGTAGCAGCAGCAGCAGCAGTAGTAGCAGCAGCAACAGTAGTATCAGTAGTAGCAGTAGTAGCAGCAGCAGCAGCAGCAGTAGCAGTAGTAGCAGCAGCAGTAGCAGCAGCAGCAGTAGCAGTAGTAGCGCGGAGGGGTCGGCACGACGCCCCCTACCTGCAGCATGGTGGTGTCGGTGGTGCGACAGAGGGTGCGGATGCCTACATTCACAGCCAGCCGCCGTGCATGCGTTCTTACCTGTAGCATGGTGGTGTCGGTGGTGCGACAGAGGGTGCGGATGCTACATCACACCATGCCACACCGCATGCGTTCTTACCTGTAGCATGGGGTGTCGGTGTTGCGACAGAGGGTGGGATGCTACATACGCCATGCACACCGCATGCGTTCTTGCCTGTAGCATGGTGGTGTCGTGGTGCGACAGAGGGTGCGGATGCTACATCACACCATGCCACACCGCATGCGTTCTTACCTGTAGCATGGTGGTGTCGGTGGTGCGACAGAGGGTGCGGATGCTACATCACGCCATGCCACACCGCATGCGTTCTTGCCTGTAGCATGGTGGTGTCGGTGATGCGACAGAGGGTGGAGATGCTAACAGA